AACGACAAAAAGGAGATCGAATCAAAAGAAGAATATTATTTTGAAGGATTGTACTCAAATTTTTCAAATTAATAAATTACTATTTGTTCCTATTTACAGACTTACAAAATTTATGTGTACAACACATATATATATATATATATATATATATATATATATATATGAGTCTAAAGTGGGAGATATATGACTCTAAAGTGGGAGATATATATATATATATATGTATACATGACTCTAAAGTGCGAGCCTTTTAGACTTTCCAACTGCCTGCCACCTTAGGTATATAAGTCATCGTGTACATTGAGCCACCAAGTTGACCAAACACACCCACACGGCCCCGCACGCATACACACCTAATTGTCCATTGCGAGTTGTACTACGCGGTATGAAGGTGAAAGTTGTCTTACACAAAATAGATGTATAGGTTTGTATTAAAAATAAACTAAAGTGGTGAATAGGTCTCTTTTTTATCTAATTTTTTTGGGTTAGTTATGCGAACTTATCTTATAATTTATCATAATTATAAAAACTTTTCATATAATTTGTTAGAAAGAGAGGTTTGTGTATGTTAATTTTATTCTTAAAGGAGTGAAATATCAGCAGTAGGTGTGTAGGTGTGTGGGGCCGTGTGGGTGTGTTTAGTCAACATGGTGGCTCAATGTATATGATGACTTATATACCCAAGGTGATTAAATTAAAATTCATATAAGTATTCTTTAACCAGGGATACTATATGAATTTTAATTTATTTACTATATGACAAATTTCATTTTTTGATTTAAGGTGAACCCCCTTTAAAAATAAAATTAACACACACAGACCTCCCTTGTTAATCGTCACCTTAAATCAAAAAATAAAATTTGTCATATAGTAAATAAATTAAAATTCATATATTATCCCTGGTTAAAGTATACTTATATGAATTTTAATTTAATCACCTTGGGTATATAAGTCATCATATACATTGAGCCACCATGTTGACCAAACACACCCACACGGCCCCACACACACACACCTACTTGCTGATATTTCACTCTCCCAACAGGCAAAAACCTAATACATACTCTCTTGTGCTCTTGTTTTGTCATGGCCGACTCTCTTCTATATATTCATCCCATCAAATCTTTCTCTCCCTACCAAACAAACAGTCATATTATACCAGAATTTATTCTCGTACCAATTAGTCAATGGATAACCATTGTTAATGTGATTGGTACAATCACTCAATGAATATGACTATTTATGTAAGTTCGTTTATGGAATTTTTTAAAAACCATCCTTTCTTCAATCTTCTCATCCTCAAAACTCCACCATGCACTGGAATTTCACTTTGCCAACAATCTGACACACCTCCCCAAAAATGGGTTTTTGTTTTGAAATACGAAAAAGAAAAAATGATATGTAAATATAAAAATGGGTTTGCTGAGAGAAGTTAGAGAGAGAGAGAGAGAGAGGAGTGAGTAAATAAGACATTGGAAATCCAAAAATAAATAAAAATATTTAAGGTCATAATTTGAGGGCATTTTAGTAATTTGATTACCAGTCACTAGGAAGGGAGATCTGTTCTGGTTAGTTTCACTTTTAAAGGAGGTCTTAGTAGTTTCACTTTTAGAGAAGGTTCATATAATTTCTCAAGCCATGAGAGAAGTCCGTGTTATCAACTCATTTTTATTTATTTTAATTTTATCGAAATAAAACTAAAATCAAAGCCACAAAGCAAAAATAAAGTGCAAGTAAACAAAATTTGAGAGATGACATCAGAATTTTTAATGAGAAAACCTTGATTTGCATAATAGACAAATCATCTGGAAAAAAATCTCGAGGAGCGAAATGATTCATTATGTTTGAAGCAAAGTACAGTCAATTCTGATTCAGACTCAAACATTATCATATGCGTAACAGATTGTAATTTACTGAGGCCCCGTTTGATAATTACTTTTGCTTAGGGTTTGTCTTGCGTTTCATTTTTGCATTTTTATTTTAACCGAAATAAAATAAGTGTTTTATTATATGGTGTTTTGAGTTAAGTCATATAGAGCAGGTACGAAGCGTGAAAACAACAAAATTTAAATTTTAGTTAAAGTGGTTGCGCCTCCAAAGCGATTGTGCACTTGTATTCTTTTATGTGTGTAACATCTTCTTAATGTTTGTACATTTAGTAAAAGACCGAAGCATATAATTTCATAAGCACTAAAAAATGTGTTTTAGCTATAAGTAAGTTTTGTATCTTCTATCTTAGAAGATATATAATATTAAAAATAATTTGCTCCCTTTGTCTCAAATTAAACTCTCTTTTTGAGAATTTAACTTTTTACGAAAATGAGTTTTAGTAATATTTTTATTTATTATAGTGGTAGTGAATAAATTACCAAAATATTCATTGCGAGTCTATATGGATGTAATTATTTACTTTTATACCAATGCAAGAATGTTAAATTGGTAATGTTAAAAGAATAATAATAATAATACTTTGACTTTTCAAAATAGACATTTATTTTGGACAGTAAAAAATAGAAAGGTATACATTTATTTATTTATTTATTTTGTGTGTGTATGTGTGTGTGACAAAGGGAATATATATTTACTTTAAGAACTTTGATCCTTTAAGTTAAATATTTTCTAAGTTATCTTAAATTGAATTCCCCACAGATTGACATTTAAAATCTATTTACCATTAGTGTTAAATAATGTCAACTAATTTAAAGAAAGTTTAAAAATTGCACCGTTTTAAATTAAGAAAAATTCATTATATTCTAACGACGTTTAACGTGGTTATCTCTCTCATCTTAAACAAATCTCGATTGTCTTGTTTCTCTTTTAACCTCACATTCTCTCTCATCTTTTCTATATATAGGGTTTTTGATAGTATTTTCCTAACTCCATCAATATCTTTGCATATATATATATATATATATATATATATATATATATTATTTTCCAATCATTACTATTACAGTAAAATTTGCATGTCTTGCAATCACATTATTGTCTATTTTAATTCTATGACAAAGAAAATTGTGCAAAATATTTCCCCAATAGTAGAAATGAGCAAGAGGAGAGAGAGGGATGATTTTTTTTTTTTTGGAAAGATGAGGTAGATATAACGATGTTAAACGTTGTTAGAGTATATATGGTGAATTTTTCTTAATTCAAAACGGTGCAATTTTTCAATTTTCTTTAAATTAGTTTAATATTAGCATTTGATAGATTTTAAACGTCACGCGTCAGTATGTAGGGAATTCAACTTAAGATAATTTAGAGATGTAGGGAATTCAACTTAAGATAATTTAGAGTATATATGGTGAATTTTTCTTAATTCAAAACGGTGCAATTTTTCAATTTTCTTTAAATTAGTTTAATATTAGCATTTGATAGATTTTAAACGTCACGCGTCAATATGTAGGGAATTCAACTTAAGATAATTTAGAGAATATTTAACTTAGATGATCCAAGTCCTTAAAAAAAAAAAAAAAAAAAAAGTCCTTATTTTAAATTCTTAATGATGCATTGTTTAAAAAAAATCTTTTTGCATCAAATGAATAATTTAAAAAATTATAAAATAATAAACGTTTTAACTAATAATGAATACATCAAATCAATTAGGTTGTAAAAATATGTGGAAAAAGAAGGGATATTGGGTTTATACGATATATCCGGTGTGGGGAGTAGCCTCTGTTCTGCCCAAAATGGGAATAAAAAGTATTTGTATCATTTGCTTGAAAATATATACGTCTTTATACACTGTACACACACGTAATATTTTTAAATTGAAATAACAAGATAAAAGTGATCAACATAAAGCGAACGACAAAATGATAAGGATTTGTTATTTTTTCTATTCTAAATTTATTTTTAGTTTTGGACATTTTAAACAGTTTTTTAAACTTTTTATTCAGTTTTAGGTATATTTTAGTAAACTGCCTTCAAGAATAATTGTTGTGAATAAAAAAATTCATAAATTGAATTCGTGAATTGAGAAAATTAAATTCGCAAATTATGGAAGGATTTGTTCTTAAAGCATCAATTAGAGAGCGATACATTTCTAGAAGGATTGTGTGACAGCATCTACAATCATTGTGTACATATATATATTTTTGTATAAATTGTTATAATAGATTTACATAAAAAATTTAGATTATTTATTTTTAGTCTCAGCGGTTATTTTATATCTTTTTTTTTGTAATAATATATCCCATATATGGCTAAAAACGTCGTGTAAAATACACTATATCCCATATATGGCTGTGTAAAAATGTTATGTAAAATACACAATAATTTTACATATTAGTAACGTGAAAATATATTTTAACAGACTGTTGGAGAAAAAAAAATTTACAACTCATAAATGTTAATGTATATTTTACATAAAAACTATTTTAAATTGGAAATGCTCCGACTTAAATTTTGAATAGTAATCGAAAATATATTTGGTAATGTATAATTATTGTGAATTTTTTAAAAAATAAAAATATAAAAATATGTTTGATAAAAAAATATTATAAGTTTGAAAAATATAATAACAACTTAAAAACATGCCATTACTTTAAATAAAATAAAATTAAAATAAAATAAAATAAAATAAAATAAAAAAACTTTATCCAAACTTCTTTACTCAAATGACTTTTTATGTGTCGACTTCCAAAAACAAAAAAGAGCTGACTCAGCGTAAGCATTACGGAGTAGTCGTCCATCGTCTAATATCTAATCCTAGTGTCGGTTGATAAGGATGGAGTTTTAGATATGTCGGTAGGAAAGTGGGGTCCACTTGTGGCGTCCCATGGGTAGTAGGGAGCTTAGCACGTGCCACGTGGTACCATGGAAGTTATGAGCTGTCCAAAGATTTTAATTTGGAATCGAATAAAAAAGATTGCTTACGCGGCCACGTAAAGTCACGAGTATGGTGATCTGTTTATTCATTCATGAACTAATGCGTAACATTTACGTACCCCCTTGGTTTCTTTAATTTTCTCTCTCATTCTTCTCTCTATAAATTAACCTCCCTTCCATCTCTTTCTAAATCCTATCTCTCTCTCTCTCTATTTATTTATTTTCTCTCTCTGAAAGTAGTGTTTGGTTGAAAGGAAAAATGGGAACAGCCACATGTATCGACATCATTTTGGCCATCCTCTTGCCTCCCCTTGGTGTTTTCCTTAGGTTTGGTTGCGGGGTACTAATAATCACCACCTCTCTTCACTCTATACACAAACATATATATGTGTGTGTGTAGGCACATGTTTGTATATACATATATAGATTTTTTTCAAAAAATCTAGTATAAGTTTCTAAACACATATTTGTTTTGAATCTCAATTGTCCCGTTCAAAAGGTTTTTATGAGTTGAATTTTTTTTATTTTTTTATTTTAAGTTATATACTTTTGAAAATTTACCATTGGTCCCTCTAAAATTATAAATAGAAATTAATTTTTCCCTCCCCTTACTCAATATACTGAGTCGTCCACATATGTGTGTATTTTATTGGTGTATGTATTAATTTTATTATTAAATAATAAACAAATATTTATCTACATATTATTCATATATGGGTGTGATTTTAGTTAATTAATTATGTTGTGGTGCAGTTGGAGTTCTGGATCTGTCTGTTGCTGACCATCCTTGGCTACATCCCTGGAATTATCTATGCTATTTATGCTATCACCAAGTGATCACCCATCAACTCCCAGGTAATTAAACACTAATCAACCACATTCTTTCTGTTAATTACCACTATCTATTCCAAAAGTTTGGTAAAATAAGGTATAATTTTAATATTTAAATATTTTAAACAGTTATAAAATATTAAATAAATAAATAAATAACTTAACATAGCATTCTTTGGGGTTGTTTTTGACCATTTTATATTAATATTATTATTTGAATAGGAACTGATATAACAATTTAAAACATAATTAGATGTTTGATATATTTTCTTTATGTTACGAGGGAATAGATTTAGGGTTTCACCCTTAGAAGAAGTGAATATATTATATATATAATTATGTAATTTAGTAATATTTTATAATATTTAATTTTGTAAAAATGCATGTGTGGTGGGGTTACCCCACCCCATCTACCTTTGCTGTTCTAAATATAATTTTCATTTTTTTCTCATTTACATAAATGAATCTTCACATCTTTCAAATCTGTCATAAACAGGATGGAATGGGGTGACGGGTATGGAGATTTTGCCATCCCTCCCAAAGATAAACCTACTTTTCTTTACGTATGGTAAATCAATTTGTGGACGATAAACTAATTAAAGTTTTGACAAATTAGTTAAAGCAATGGGGTCCGCTTCTTTGTTTTTTTTGGCAGGTTGGAGATATGAAAGGCCTATACGCAGCTACTTTTAATTTCTGCCGACGGGTTGATGAACGGTGCTGATTTGATTTACTTGTTTCCTAGTTTTGTATTTGAAAGTACACTAGGTTAATGATTGGGACCGGTGGTTGGTTTGATTTTGCTATGTACTTATGATGGTGGTTTGATTTTGTGACTAGTACTTATGGTGGTGGTTTTTATGCACAAGTTATTGTGCATCATTCGGTCATCAAATTTCTATTAAATCAGGTGTTTAGATTATTGTGTATCTATGGATTCCTGATTTTTATTTGATATATATATATATATATAAATTTTTAAATATTATAGTATGCTATCAATGCGCCATTAATCTCTGATAGTATAACCCTAGGCCCTTGAACATGGGTAAAAAAAGGAAGTGGCATATGAAAGTTTGTTGATGGGCTCTCAATATTTTGAGAATTTCAAGGCCGAGTCGGCTGACTATCTGATAACTTTAGATATCCTAGGCTGCACCATCGACTATGTTTCGATGACCTTTGATGCCTGGGACTCGCAACACTAAATTGTATGAGGAAAAATAATCACACCACACAGAAAAAAAAGCCTATAGTCCCTCATTTTCATTCTTTGTGATTTTTAATCTTTTTTTTATCATTTATTTTAAATTCTAAATACTCTTATATATTGAATTATAAGAAAATACTCCACAACCAGCAAATAAAAATAAAAATACCAAATTAGAATCATAACATCACAAATGATAATCATAAGTTCTCGGGAGTGATAACATAATGTTAAGGGCACATTTTCAATGAATTATAATTAGTTGGTGTAATGTGGAAAACCCCAATTCATTTCATGCGACATCGGATATTATGCACCACAGGTGTGTAGCATTGTTTGTATGAGATTTTATTTTCTTTTCCAATTTTAAATAATGGCATTGTTCATTTTCAAAACCGGATATTCTTTGTGTACGTACGATGGATTTGTTGGCACTTCTCAAACCAACATATACAAGACTTAAGCTTGTGACATGTTTATCCTTCATCACCATCACACAGTTTTTGGAGGGTTTAATCAAATGACCAAATAACCCTTCCTTTGAAGTTTGATTCACCTAAGTTATATAATTCATTCTAAGAGTATTGCTCGCTCTTACACTTCGCACGCGCTGTTGTTATTGCGCACACTCACTTTCAATTTCATTATGTGTGACTGAGATTTTGCCACGCTAAGATTTGGATTCTAATTTCTTTTATATTTTTCAATTTTCTCTTCACGGGTCTTTACTGGATCTTTACTGTGAATGTAGTTTATAAACCGAACTACATATATCTCTATGTTTGTGTGATGCATGATTTTATGTTTTTTCGGTCATTGTTCATTGTTTAGGTGATTTGCCTTTGTTTGTTATAACAAAAATTCTCTCATTATTCCCTATGAAAGTCATGACCTCCGGAGGGGTAAGAGATTCAAAAACATGGAAGGCGGGAAATTAGCAGTATTTTCTGGTTCCAATCTTATACTCTTAAATGAGTAATGATATCACGAGAACTCTCTTATGAAAGAGTATAAATTATTCTTTTTTCTTATTTTTTCATTTATTCTTATTTAATTGCTAGATTAAGAAGGATAGTTTGAGATATGTAAAAAGTCAAATGAGTTGTTTAATAAAATAAATTCATTGATTAGATTAATCCTTATTTAACTAGTGAATTGGAACATTTTTTTTGAAATCTATGAAAAGTCAAATAAATTATATAACAAAATTTTCAATACAGAGAGAACTCATCCTAAGAGAGCTTTCGTGACACCATTAGTCTTCCTATATACGAATTGATCCTTTCGCCTTTTTGGATGGACAAATGGTCGGGATCTTGCTTCCTTTACATTCTTGGTTATTGTTTGTCCCTTTTGTAACTTGGCTGCAAAAAGCCATTTTCATTTGTTTTTACAATGCCTTTTCGTCTTAAATGTGGTTTTCATATCCATTTATCTCAAGAATTTCTCACTCAACGTGCTCCACCCACCCGAACACTTCTTGAAAATCTATTATCCAAAAATGATTTGGTTTTTCAAAACTAACTCTTTTTGTTGAGTTATTCAAATTTCTTTAGATTTAATACTTGATTTGCAATTTCAATTTTTCTTTTTTCTTTTTTTCTTTTTTTTTTTTTTGTCAATTTATGAATTTATTTATTAAATAATTAGTCTATTTTTCTAAAAACAAGAAAATTATTAAAACATTCTTTCAAATAGAGATTAATAATAATATTTTAGAGAATACATTAAAAATTTTAATATTTAAGAAAATTGAAAATGTGTAATTACACAAAATAAAGTGTGTTGAAAATTAAAGGTACAGTTGAGAATTTAATCTAGAATCTTTAAGTGTATCAAGGAGGAGTGTTAAATTTTATACACTTTTCCAAAATATCTAAAAGAGTTGCAATTATGTAGATATCTAGATATGAGAAAATAATCAACTAGATTTTTTTATAGATTTTTGTAATAATAATAAAAAAAAAAATAGGAAAATACAGAAGTGGAAGTGAGTTATAAATACTCAACGCATTGAACACTACCAAACTGACAAGTTAGTGCATTTCACAACCAATTGGAAAGACAGTGGTACAGAAAACTTGTTGGAATCACTGTAAAAATGGAATTTGGGATAGATAAATAGAAGATATTAGGAAAGATAAGGAAATTAGGTAACTCATTAGCGTTCTAGTCTCATAAGTTTTACTCTGAAACAACTCACTACTGATCTATTAAGACACGCTTAGGTAGTAGTAATGTTATAAATTGTTATTTAAGTGAATCGAAACAGTGTAACACTAAATAACCTAACTGATTGAAAGCCATTGTAGCTTAAAAAAAAAAAAATTGAATCCTTAACCTAAGACGTTCCAACACAAATAAATAAATAAATGCAATTCTGAATCGATCGGTCATACACATTTGATTATCTATGAACATTCCAAAATTATTCAAATATCCACCTTTGATGATCGATGAACAAACGCCCAATTCATACCAAAAATAGATTAAATTCACTTACATAGCAAACTTCAGACAGCAAATCAACTTCGGCGAACACAAATTGACCACATGAAAAATATTCAAAAACAAATACAAACATAAAATTTGAGTTAAGATTGATAAAAATTGAGTTAGGATTGATAAAAATAGACTTGGCTGGACTTTTATAGTAGTGAAATCGAGTGTAGAGAGGGTGTGTGTTTTATAGAGAGAGAGTACCTGTGTAGAGAGAGAAATGGTTGTGTGTAAAGAGTGTATCAAGAAAATGGCCTAATTTATAGTGGGAGCGACTTGATTCAAATGGGTTTAGGCATAAAATCAAACAAATGGGAAGGAAGGACTTATCATTTGCCACAATATCGTATTATTGACCCCCTTCCTCTCTTTAGAAAACTCAATATGGCGGCACTCTCTCATCCTTATTGGCGCACGTGCAGGCCAGGGACCACAATGAAGGGATTGAGAGAAAGAAGAAATCACAATGAAGGGATTGTATAGGTGTAACACCCCCACATTTTTCACGCATAAGTTGATCAGGCTTATACACGAAAAACGAGGGATATCAAAAACAATTGGCAATATACAAGCATGGAATACAAAATGATGGAAATAAAAGAATTTAGACAGGAAAGAAATATTAAATAATACAACATCCATCCATCCTTTATTTAATACAGTACTTCATTACAACTTGGAAATCCTACGTCAGGGATCCCTAAATATAACCCTGAGAGTTCAACGTCAAAAGTAAATAAAAACTGAAACTGAAGTATTACATAAAACTTCTACCCTGAACTGGATCGTAAGAGTAGATGAGTTCGGATGGTGGTCCCACACTGCTAACCTCAGCCTTGAAACGGATACTGACCGTATCCTGAAATAACAACAATGGTGGGTCAACCCCACGAGCAAGTCCTCTCTACTATGACCCAAATCAGAGAATCAAATAAATTACTATAGCTGTATACATCCTAAGGGAACTATCCCATGTATAACATGACCTCAACCAGAATAGACGGTGATCACTTAGACTCACACTAGGTGGTCAAGTGTCGCCTTTCCCTACCCGGGAAATCAGCTATTATACATGGTGCACGATACTGACATCACAGACTATAACGAACTACACAGTGATAACACCTCTCAAAGTACTGATGAATATACTGAGCATACAAATTAGGCAACACATGCCAATAATATTACTAAATAGACTGAGTATGTCCATTAGGCAACACATGCCAATAATATTAAACCACATACCCCGACAGCCACACATCTGTCTATAGCAACGAATGCATAAGGTATAAATGAGTTTAAACTTATTAGCCAGCTCACATGGTTCTATATGGCAACACATCCATACAATATAAATGCGACATAATAAACAGTCCATTTATTCCCTGAAATGCACACAGCATAATAATCATGGTTTATATATCAATTAACAGTATAAACATCCCATAAGATATCATGAATAATTTATCTGACTAAAACCATGGCCTTATTTAATTTAACAGTAATGTTTGATACCATTTAATACGATAATAACACTATTTATATTTAACAATGTTGTTAAATAAATCACATTAGTATCCGTACTGTGAACGAGCCAATAAATGCTTAAAAAAGATTAATCGGTCATAAGAATAAGTAACGGGTGTTAAAATAATAATTTCGTGGCCCGTTAAACCCGTAAATACCAACACAGTACCTAAAAATCCAAGTTTAAGGTTCTGGAATTTACAAAACAGGCCCTAGGGGTATTCTGGTAATTTCCAGTAGCTGTAGAGACCCCACACGCGCCCTCACGCGCCTCCCAGAGCCTCCCCACGCGCAGCCCAACCTTCCCCACTCTCCCACGCGCCTCCACGCGCGTCTGGCATCAGCCACGCGCGCGCACGCGCTCCCACGCGCGCGTTGATGGCTACCTGCAGACGTGTCACTTCCTAGTTGGTTGGCTGCATCCGGACTCCGTACTCGCATCACACCGGATCATCTCACCCTATCTTCCCTCCATCCAACGCCCACAGATCCGGGTGTACCGCGGTAACATGGACCGCGGTGCACCGGATCAATCGCTCATGTTAATGGCCCAGATGCGCGCGCATACCCTCCTATGGTGCGCCGCATCACACCGGATCACTCCGGTCGTCTCCCCCATTGCCGGCGACCGGAAAACTCGCCGAAAGGTCGCCGGAAATTGCAGAAAATGCCCGGAAAATTCTTAAAAATTCT